CAACTCTTTTCCTGAATCTATTAGTTGTTATTAGCTCAGTGGCGAGAGCTAGGACCTTCAGTGTCTCTCCTCCAGTCATACCCAAGTGTTGATGTGCCCAGTTTTTGTACAGACACAGTTCAGGCACTGGAAGCTAATGTGAGTTAGTGATTTAGGTGGATGCATTTTATGTGAAAATACATTTTGAAGTCCTGTCTTTCTTCTAGCTCTTACATTATTCCCTCTTCTACAGTGTTCTCTGATACTTACAGGAATATCACAAAGGTCTAGTGTAGGGTCAAGCACTCATCTGCCACTTATTCCTAGCACCTAGTCACCCACGAGTCTGCCTCACAGTCACTTGAGTTCAGTGTGGAAAAAGGGGGCCTTCCCTGATTAAAGGTGAGAGTAGCATTTGTCAATGGATATAAACATTAAAAAGCAGGTCCTCTGTTTTGACATTCCTGCAACAGAAGATTAGTTATGCTGCTGAAATAATGGACAAAGCTATTACCTTGATTATCTTTCTATCGTGTCTACACAGATTAAAGCATAATATTACAGTCCTTAAATATAAAGTTTTTCTATCAATTAAAAATAGATTTTAAAAAGAAGTACATACTGAATTAAGATATGCCAAGATTAGGCAATAATGTCATCATATTCTACAATGAATGCCTGTAGTCGTCCACAGTTCAATAACATCACCACAAACTCAGAGGACAAATACTAAATTGAAACATCATGGAATATAGCTGCTTTTACTGTTTCTTTCCAGTTTAGTTTCACAAAGAAAATATAAGGTTTTTTTTTTTTAAAGACTGTCAGGCAGCATAGAAAGTAAAATCAAAGAAAGTATGAGTACAAAGTAGAAGGTTAGGAAGGCATATAAGGTGGGAAGGAAGAGAATAGCTGGAACGGGGGCTGTTGGAGTAATAAGATACTGTCTACTGATGAGCCACAGGTAATATCAAAGGCGCATTTACAGAATGTTTCCTTTTCAGTAATTGTAAAAAGACTCCCTTGCCATTACAAAGCACTTTTCTTTGTGGCAGATTGAAGAATGCTTTACCAACTAAATGCATCCCTGTAATATTCAGACCTCAGGTCCAACATAATCATAAGTTGCCTTGTTATTATGGAGGTAGCAGTCCCATTTAATAACATATTAAATGCATTATTCATTTATGTAACTCAGACCCAGGGACAGCTGCTGAGATGAAAATAGAACCATTCTGTGATGCGAAAGGCAGGTGTGTGCTGACTTGAGTAAATTAACTCTGTATTTCTGCACAATTTTCTTCTAAATTTCAGGGACAGGTCTGGTCGGGCTAATGTGATGCCATTTTCATCCGAGATATAAAATGGTTTCAGAATGGATTTTAATGAGCATTAAAAAGAAAAATTGCCAATAGTCCTCTTAGTGGCAGATTCCCAGGGGGTTGGAGTCGTGCTTTGGATTTAAGCAGAGTCCTGTAGCTACAGGATTTGGGAAAGCCCAAGTGATGATTGGTCAGAACAGCAGCAAACAAAGGCAGAGCGCTCTCTCTGATGATGGCAGTGATGGATGATAAAGAGCCCAGGTTTCTCTAGCTGCTTGCCAAGGCAGAGCCACAGGTGTGTTTAGATTCTAAGTAATTAAGGATCCCAACCACCTTCCATTTGCGCAGAGCTATACTGCAGAAACATGCAGGCAGCTTTGATGCAGTTATACACTCTGAAAGGCCATAATTATACCAGACGGCCTTGCTAATCAATGTCTTCACATCTTTGCTGGTACCAAAATGCTAGCGGTTTCCAACACCTACACTAGAGTTTCTTTATACCGTTTTCTTCAATCTTTCTCACCTGCCATGATTCATTCTCTCTCTCTCTCTCTCTCTCTCTCTCTCTCTCTCTCTCTCTCTCTCTCTCTCTCTCTCTCTCTCTCTCTCTCCCCCTCTTCTGATGTTTATTCATAAATACCTAAACTTGACCGATATTCAAAATCCTCAGACATGACAATACACCACCCCAGTGGACAGTGATCATAATGCTAATGGAAGAGTTTGGGGTTCTCGTGTTGGTCTAGATCTTAAAACCCTGAGGTGTTGGATAATTAGGAGAGGATAGAGTCCACAAACCTTTATCATTAGAGGGCGTATCTGAGCCATTGTCCTGCAGGCATTTTCAACATTAAAGCTGAAACAGTCATGCCAGAATCCACGCCCTGTTGCCTAGCCTTGCATTTATTTGAGATACAATGAGGTTAGGATTTTAGCATGTAAATAATCAATTAAGACTTAGGTGGTCAGAAGGGCAATCTCACTCCATTTAAAGAGACACTGAAATGGAGTAGAACAGAAAAAGGATGCTCATGTGACCGATGGTCCAGGATCCTGGTTGTGTGATATTGAGAATGTTAGTTAACTCTTCTAAGTCCCAACTTTCTATCTACATACTGGGAAGGACAGTGGTGGCTTCCTCAATAAAGACATGTGAAAATAGATGAAGGAAATCATGCAGAGATCCTGTATCATAATCAGAGCACAGGAATAATTCTGGAAATGTGAATTTGTGTTTTTGTTGTTGCTATTTTCCCATTCTCGTCTAGAAATTTTGTTTTTGAGAGCGTAAGAGGTAAGCTGCCCTGTAAAGGATGGGTGAGCTCTGGGTAGCACATAGAGCATGGAGGAACGAACCAATGTTTCCTAAGGGATTAGTGAGTAAGATTTGGCTGGAGTCAAATGAGTTTGCTTGGGATAAAGAGTTCAGAGAGGCAGAAAGGAGGCAGAATGCTAACAGAGAGCATTAAGTAGTGGCTTATATTTCAACATATCCTGAGGCTTGTTGGATGCCCTACAGGTTGGAAGTGGGAGGGTGAAGTCATAATATTTTTAAATAGTTAGTAATAGTTCATCAACACTTACTAATTTAATCTTTTTGCCTTAATTCATTTGATCTTGTACCTATACTACAAGGTAAATTAAGTATTAATTATCTACTTAGTCTTAATTCATAGTGTATAAGATCTTTAACAAAAAACATCTTATTAGTTTCTCAGTTCTAGTTTTAAGTAGTCAGTCTAGATATCAATGGATTAGAAAAGCACCTGCAGGCAAATCCAGTCCATCACCAGTGATGTAATGAACAGACTTTAAAGGGGAGCCAAGTTTGTTCATTCTTTTACTAGTTGTCTAGGTCAGTCTCAAGATTTATTATCTAATCTTTGGTCTAAAACAGTGGGAAACTGGGTTAAACAGCTTCTAACTTGAACTCTGCATTAACCCTAAAGGGGGAAGTTTGGGAAATCAGGTACATACATGCTTAAAGTACTCACTATACACACTGCAGTGGGTGATATAGAACCCCAGAATTCTTAAAATTGCTGTCCTAAAATCATAGACTTAATTTACCACAAATAAAATGAATTGCAAAAGATAAGTTTGTAAAGTGACCCATTGTTTCTGGTGAGGTTAAACAAGGAATGAAGGCAATAGTATATAGGTTTACTCAGTCTGCAGATGTTTAATTATCTTCAGAATAAGGCTTCCAGGCTTAATCAGAATTGACATTCATGAAAGAATGAGCACATATTACCAAATCTTGCCATCTTTTCTTGTCTTTTGCTGCTACTGTGCCCTTAGCTTCAGTCTGAATCACATACCGCTAATAATCTATGCTTTCTCTGACTTGCACATAGTCTTACAGTATGCACATTTATCCCTAGCTTCTCCAACCCATAGCTTTATGTTCCACACACTTAGCTGCCCAGGGTCAACTACAGTCTGGATGGAAAATCACAGGGATGAATGTGTTACATTCTGGAATGAACACTTACCCAGCTCTGCATGCTTCTCCATGTCTGTATCACACCCTTAATTTCAGCTCTTCTTATAAAAATAGCATCTTTTTACACCATCATCAATGGTATGAGTGCAATATAAAACCCAAATTCACACAAATTTTATGACAGTCTTTATTTTAGGCATTTACTTTGCCATTAGGTTTTGTTTTAGCTTGTTATGCTTAATTTGTAAATTAATCTTCATTTATAGGAAAAAAGCATACCAGTTCCAGATTTTAATACTCTCTGCCATCATAGATGTTTCACTGGGTGTTCTAGTATGTGTATACAAGGGGCAAAAGAGGACAAACTCGGTGCTTTTTCTAATCCACAATTATGTGATCTTTGAATTATCATCTAAATTATCTCTATGTATTTTCAACTGATTATTAACAGTGATCCAAGAGATCAAATCTTTCACCTCTATGCATATCTCACAGCTCCCAATGAAGGAAAGATTCATCTGTTGAGTAGATGTCTAAAAGAAGTGTATAGCAGGCAAGAGAGCTGGATCACAAAGAGCTCTGACTGCAGTTCCAGGAGACACAGTGCCCTCTTCTGGCCTCCCTAGGAGTCTGCTTGCTTGTGGGTAAACATACATACACTTATGTACATACACATACACAAAATAAAGACATAGTTTTTAAAACTCAATGGAAATGCTAATTAGAGTTAGTATTTCTTGATTTGTCTTTTTCCTGTTGCTGGATGTCACGTCCATTACTTTCTTTGTCTTTGTGGCAAAATATGTAACAAAACCAATTTAAGGTAGGAGAGTATTGTTTTCGTTCACAGATTGAGAGATTCAGTCCCTCATGCCAGGGAATAAATGACAATGGGAACTTGCAATGCAGCTTGTTTGCATCTTAACTGATCAAGAAACCAAGGGATCAATGCATTTTAAGACTCATCTCAATGATAGTTTGCCATCTAGGCCCTCTGCATAAAAGTCCTTCCACCTCCCAAAGCAGGGTCACCAGCTGGGTACCATATGTTCTCACAAATGAGCCTATGGAGGACATTATACATTCAAACAGTAAAAGGTACTTTATATGAATCATCTCAAATATTGCTGGCAACATGAAAGGTCGGCAGTTAGGAGGTTATTGGTCCTCATGCTACGCTATAGGTCTAGTTTCGAATTTCAATAGTAATTACATGACCTGATGTATGACTTGTGAATTTCTACACATAGGTATAGAAAAGTGGTCTCCAATAACTGCACGGATGGCGTGAGAGAGCAGTATACTGCCAAACCACAGAAGTGCCCAGGGAAGGCCCCTCGAGGGCTCCGAATCGTCACTGCAGACGGAAAACTGACAGCAGAACAAGGACACAATGTCACGCTCATGGTACAGTTAGAAGAGGTAAGGCTGACTCCTGTCTGTCCTCTGCTTTGTAGGACAGGTGATATTCCGACAAAATCGTGGCTTTGTTTACCTATCCTTGTTCACATTCTCAAGTTTTAGTTGCAAGTATTGTTATTTTTTTCTACTTTTGGCTTCCTGTCTGCTGTTGCCGTCTCTCTTTCCCTGACACATTCTCCAGTTTCTTTCCATTTACTGCAAATTGGTTTTCACTCCTTTACATCCATGGTTCTCTTTGGATTTAACTCTTCTTTATTGGCATTGTTAGGATAATACTTTCTCAAATTGTGTGAATGGTTTCCCCAGAATAATTAAATATAAAGACTTAATCAAGTGAAAAAAGTATGTGCTTTTGCCTCTCTCAGCCTGACATCATTGCTTTTCTTTCCAAAAGCAACAGGCTCGTTAAATATACTGATCAAATATAGCACTAAGGTATAAATTAGTATAACGTCTTTGACAGTTGAGACTTTGTATCTTGGTAACACAGTGAGGATATCATTATGAGCACTGACTACTCTTTGACAAATGATGTTTGTCTGAAATGTATGACTATGTGGGTGGAGAATTGAAGAAAAATGTGTTCTATGTCCTTAGAACTGTGCGAAGGCAAACTTGTCATCTTGGAATGAGGTAGATGTTTTTTAAGATTAAGTATGTTAAATACATGACCTCAGTTATTAAATTAGGGGCTATCATCCTGTCTGCAGCCACATTTTCTGCATATTTAAGTTCAGCCAGCATTCGACTGAAGATAACAGGATTTTAAAATGAAAGCAATGAAATCAACACCAAAGTGCACAGGGTTGGCTTTCAGCCTTCTCTTCCAAGAAGCCAGTGGCCCTCAATCTTCAACATACGTGAGTTGCCTGTATACATGGCCACATATGCACATTTCGTTCAGTTGTATCTGGTGGAAGTTAAGAATACTCACTCATGTCAGTCGGTGATGGCACACATCTTTAATGCCAGCACTTGGGAGGCAGAGGCAGGTGGATCTCAGTGAGTTCAAGGCCAGCTTGGTCTACAAAACAACTTCCAGGACAGCCAGGGCTGTTACACAGAGAAACCTTGTCTTGAACAAAGAAACAGAAAAAACTACTCATTCATAAGAAATACAGTTACACACAGTCTTTCTAGTAAAGCAAAAAAGCAGGACAAGGAATGGGAGTGGGAAAAGCAAATCCAGAAGATTTGGAGTGTGACAGGAGAGGAAGATGAAGAAGTTACGATTGTGTTGCCATGCATGTTTAATCAAAACTGTATTTTTTCTTATAATTGTCATTATTTTTGAGATTGTAATTACATCATTCCCCCTTTCTCCCTCAAACCCATCCCATGTGCTCCTTCCTTACTCACAGTGAAATTTGTGACCTCTGCTTCTTTAATTCTACATTTAAGTAACATACAAATTGAGTATATTATTTTGATATATTTGGTTATATATATATATATA